TCTTTGAACTCAAACCAAATAGCCGATATCTTTTGCCTTTTTATTTCATTACCTTCATCGTATTCTTCAAGGTTAGCATCATCACATTCTTTATCATTAGTACAAATAATTGATGTTTTATCTATGTTACCATTAGTGGCATCTAAAGTTTCATTCATTGAACCATTATCGTCATTTGACACCATTTAGCTACCAAATGAAATTGTTGGTTGAAATGGTGCAGAAAAGATTTTGGTGTGGTTGGCAACATGTTTAGTTCTCTATCACAAAAAAAGATAAATCAAAACAATAATTTGATTTTGGGATCAAACTAATAATTCGCTATTAGCTTTATTATTCGAACTCATAAAAGAACATATAAATGTTCAATATTACACAAAAAGACTAAATTTATGATTAGTAAAACAAGGAAAACCAAGATTGAATATTCCTATATCTTTTTTTTCAGCATATATATTTAGGTAAAGCTCTGTTTGGTAGTTTTGATAAATCTTTTTCAAGTTGAAAATAGAAGAAATAGATGTAAATTATTTTTTATTTACATAGAAACCAAGCTCTATTCATTTAGTTGTAATTTGACTCAGTTGCACTTGTAAACATTTTTAATTTGTTTCTCAAGATGCCATATCACACTGTTGATATTGTGACAATACTTCTACATTTTTTAAAACCAATTGATAGATAAAAATGATGGATTGAAAGCTCAAAATGATATGCAATGATCTTTTTATTTTATGTAAGGTAATCGTAAGGCCTACAAAATCAAAGCAAGAAAAAAAAAAGATCTAGACTCTTTATCTTTCAATGCCCATTGAAATTTCAAACTAGTGAAGATTTTTTTTTGAATCAACAAAATATAGGACAATAGCTTTAACATTACAGTCTAGCAATTTTTCTTCAAGTTTGTAAATACTAAACTACCTTGTTAATTTTACAGCAATCATATGTTAATAATTTATTAATGATTTTAAAAAAACTTGGGAACTTGCTTAAGCTATAGGTAGAGACTCCAAAAAAGCAAATTTGGATGAATGATAAGATGTAATATAATAATGAATGGAAGAATAAAATAAAAAGGGCTTGCTTTCTCAAAATCAAAATATAAAACTAGGTTTCATACCCCATTTTTCACTACTTAATACCATAAAAGTTTGAAAAGCAATTAGGCAAGGAAACCAAAAAGCTATGGACTAACCCTTTTAAACACAAGTATTAAGCCAAATAGATTACTTTAGTTGAGAGTAAACTATCATGAAAAAAGCAAAGGGTCCTTATTTAAGCAGACATTTTCAAGCTTTTAGATTATTACACTTTTTTGTAAAAATCTGCTATATATTTTAATAGTTAATGGCCGAGAGAACAAATAATTGAGAAAATCATATCAGGAGGGAAAAGACAAAAGATTTAGGGATAAAAAAAAAACTTGAAGTGAATAGCTAGCTAAAATCCAAAGCGATGAGGTATTGTTCCGAAGGCTAAAAAAAGAAGGGCTAACCATTAGATGAGAGTAGAGATGGAAGAGTTGATTTTAGAGTCACAACCTAAAAAAAGTGTAGAGATAGAGAATGGATATGAAAGGAAAAAAGCATTGTTGGTTTGTTGGGAGAGTGAGTGAGTGAATAAATTTTGAGTTAGCATTTTTTACGTTTTTTAGGTTAGGTTACTTATTTATATAAAATATGGGTAAAAGTAATTTTGTAAATAAAAAATAAAAATATATATTAAAATAAAAAAATTCGATTAGACTCCTTAGCTACTTAAACCAAGCATTAAGATACTTAAACTCGGCTTACTTGATAAATCGAGCTACTTAAACTTGAGCTTGAGTACAGCTTGATAATAAGTCATCTAAATTCAAATTTTGTTCGAACTGAACTTAAGTAGCTTTGCAAGTACATGTGTATCATTTACACCATTAGTTAGTATTGTCCTTTAGATAAACGATGTAGGGAATCATACTATAGATCTTGCTTGGTTTCGTAGGTTAAAATATGCTTTTTTTAAAAAACCTAATCACATTTAGAATAGCTTTAAAAATAGATAAAATTTAGTTAGATGACTAATCACACTTAATAAAAAAGATTGGTGACAACTTCTTTTCTATTTAGCGATCAAATTTTTAAACTTGTATGTTATGACATTACATATAAAACCTAAATACCTTTACTTAATATTATTACACATAAAATTTGTTCTGATGGTGGTTTATCACCTCCTTCCAACCACCACATTGACCTTACCGTGAAAGTCGATCTGTGTGTTTGTTCTACATAAGGACAATCAACGTTATGATAATAATTAAACTCAATTTCAACTTAACAAAAAAAAAATTTTTTTTAAATATTTATTTATACAAGTATTATTTGATATATATAGTAATTTTTAATTTTTTATTAATTTGACAAAAACATTAGATAAATCATTTACGCCATAAATAAATAAGTTAACATGTTAAACAAATAGATAATTTAGATATAATTATATGTCATGTGTTATTTCTATATTTTTTTATCTATCAAGTATTATTCACATATTATCAAAGATAATATAATAAAATATTTTATTAAATAACTTAAAAATTTTAAAAATCAAATATAAAAATCTTACATTTCCTAAGGTCAACAAAATACAAGAATCATAAATTTCTTTTTAATATTACTTTTCTCAAAAATCACTTTTTTTTTTTGAAATTTAAGAATCCACAAACAAAACGTCTTTTAAATATAAAAGTAAAAAAAAAAAGTAATAATTGTACTTATAATTACAGTGTTACTACTTTTTATTACATAGAGTAATAATAAAGACTTTGATAAAAAAAATGGATAAAAGTAAAAAAATGATATTATTACTATTTATTATATAAAATAAAAAATTTAATAATTTGAGGATAAATAAATGTAAAAATAATAAAATGTATCACTATATTTATTATATAAAAGTAACAAAGTTAGAAATTTGTTAACGCCTTAGAAAAAAAAGTAATGTGTTAACAAATAAATATAAAATAATAAAAATAAAAATAAAAATATGATAATATTACTGTTTATTATATAGAGTAATAAATTAAGTAATTTGATAAGATATAACTATAATTAAAGATGGTATATAAATAATAAAAAATAATGAACTCAAAACTTAATTTAGTTATACAATTAAAAAAATAACATCTAACAACTTTAAATTCAAATTACAAGTAATTAAGAGTGTAAATGATAAATCAATACTTGTAAGTTATTCGGACTCGATTCGAATAAAACTCACATTTAATTTGATTATTTTCGAGTCAAATTCAAACTCAAGTAGTTTAATTTATTAAATGCGTCGAGTTAGAGCATACTAATATTCAACTAAAGTAGCTTGTGAGTCTAATTAAAATTTTATATTTTATAAATATTTTTTTATCATTTTAATTAAAAAATTATTATTTTACTTTTATATATATTAATTTAACTTTGATTTTAAATTCAAATACAAATAATCGAGTTTAAAGTTATGCATGAAAGCTGAGATATTTTTTATTTAATAAATAAACTTAATCAAACGAATTCGAATAATTCAATTTTTATCTCAAATTCAAATTTAAAAATTAAAATTCAATTAATTAAAAATTTTTAGTATAACTTGACTCGATTGGATTATATCTCTACTTATAATCTTTTCTTTTACAAGAATCAATTGTAAAATAAATAATAATTAGATTATAATCCGTGTGATGCACGAAATAATTTTATTTATTTTATAGGAATATATATATATGTTTCTTTTCAAAATTATATTTAAATTTTTAAAACTCATAATATATATAAAATTTATATATATTGACTTGTTATTAAAAAATAAACTTTTTAAAAAAACAAAAAAAAAATTTGTCTATCCTTTGGATATTTTTGTTTATAATAATATTTATATATATGTAAAATTATATCAAATAAAAATAAATTATGTATTTTTTTAAAAATAAAAATATATATTATTGAATGATAAATTAAATAATAAAAGAAGTATTAACACACTTTCACTTTACTAATCTTGATTTAATTATTATACAAAAGATGAAATATGTGAAAAAGAAAAATTAAATTGAAAAAAAAATTTCATAAAAATAAAACTGCAATAACAATAAAATATATATTGGGAAAATTTATAAACAAAAAAAATTGAAATAGTAATAAAATATACCTTAGAAAAAAGTTACTGAAAAAATAAAAAATTTGATGTTTAACACATTATATTTGTAATATTAAATTTGTAGAAGAATTTTTTAGTGACAATTAGGATTAAATAGATAATTTTTAAATTAATTTTTTAAAATTTAAAATAGATATAATAAGTGATAAAGATAATATTAAATTTTTTACATTTATTTAAAATATAAATTTGATAATTAGAGTTCAAATGGATATAATCATTTTGATAATCTTATCATTTAAAGATTTAAGATGAAAATTTTTTGAATTTTTAAAATCTTACATAAAATTGCTTAAATTTTTAATGTCTTACATAAATTTTTTTTAAAACTAATTTTTTTAAATAAAAATTTTAAATAAAGATAAAAAAAATTATTGAAAGAATTGGATAAATTTAATCTTTGTAATTTTTAAATATTTTAAAAATATTTTGATAATTAAATAATTTTTTAAATAAGGTTATTTGGTAAAAAATAAAACTATTTATTAAAAAAATAAAATTCATATTTCATATTTTTAAATTTAAAATATATATCTCTAAATCTATTTATATTTCAATTATAATTTGAATAAGTTTGATAGTTGAATAAATTTAAAATTATCTAACTTGTAATTAAAAAAAATATTTTATTTTTTAAAAAATTATCTTATGTATCATTTAAGAGAGTTGTTTATATATATATTTATGTGATAAATTTGTTATGTATGTTGTTATATAATATATATAGATTAAAAATATTTTTGCTTTTTTTTTTTAAATAGCCGGTTATCCGGTTTTCAAAGTATACAAATTTAATGATGTGGATGGGAATAACTGTGCCAAATCACAAGCATTTGGAAATCTCTGCTGAGGTAGGTTACGGCAGAAGGAAGGAGCTTTTCGGTTTCCATTTTCCTACAAAAACCGAAACGAGAAGAAACCAACGGAGCTAATCGGCAAGTGGTTGGTTTTGGGTCATCTTCTACTCGTCTATGGTGTGGCCTCTCTTTGAAGATGAGAGGAATCGCTCTTCCACACACACATTATTGCTGCTACGCCTCTAGGTGCAAGGGCATGACACTCATCATCATGGGAAAGGCCAAGAACTCCCCTTCTCCTTCCAATAAGGTTTTCTTGTATTTTTTTTTGATTAATGGGGTTTTTTTTTTTGTACTACCGCTGGAAGCAAATTAAAGAGCTCAAAACCAAAGCAAGGGAAAAATGGTTAAGGAAATTGGGGGTAATCCACAGAAATCATAGGGTTTTGTAAAAAGATTTTGAGTAAGTCAACTCATCTATTTTTTGAGCAAAGTCAAGTGAGTATGATGAATTTTTCTTCATTGCTGACCTTTTCTAAGCTTACTTTTGGAATGTCAGTGAGCTGATATTGAACAAATTCTTTAGATTATTTTATTCTTTTACATTTCTAGACTGTCTCTTACAAGCTTACTGTTGATAGGGTCCTGAATCAGCACCTCCAAGAATCACATCCAATGTCAAGCAGAATTTACGGATTTTAAAGCTGTGGAAGGTATGTTGTCAGTTAGCTCCTAAGATATGGAAGTTGCTATTTATTCTATATCCTTTGTCTCTTATATGAAAAAATTATTGTAGGAATTTCAAAAGAGGAAATCTACTGTACCTAAACCTGCTACTAGTTATAGGCGAAAGAAGTTGCAAAAGGAGGACCTTCCAGAGGACATAGAGCTTTATCGTGATCCGACAACGACTCTTTATCAGTAAGCACTATCTTGGTTTCTTTCTTTGGTCGTTTTTGAATTTGTTCATTTTTCAGCTTCCTGGTGCTAAAAGTTTTTACAGTACCAACCAGGGTCTAGATGATGCTGTCCCTGTCTTGCTTGTTGATGGTTACAATGTATGTGGCTATTGGGTGAAGCTGAAGAAGCATTTTATGAAAGGGAGGCTTGAAATTGCTCGCCAAAAACTAATAGATGAGCTTGTGACTTTTAGTATGCTACGAGGTTTATACTTTGCATCTTCTGTCACTTGTTTGAGGCTATGGTTGTATTGATTTCCTAGGGCATGCCTAAGTGGAATGGTTGTAAATATTTTGTATATGTTCTACTTCTTTGTTCCCTCTTTGAATTCTCTGCATGATCACGATGGTTACCTAGCTAAAAATTAATATATCCACCAACTAGAAAATGATAATTGATTCTCAGCTTTCTACATTAGTATCTTCAATAACTTATTAAGGTATTAGTCAACTTTGTTAAAATTGAAACTCAGCTTTGCATCTGAATATAGAGTTGACTTGATTAATATAAGATGTTTTTGTGTAAAACCTCCATTGTTGTTTTTCTTTTATTGTTAATGTCCTATAATTCTCTGATCGAATTGATCGGGTGATGTAGGAACGAGGATCAAGTCCTCCTTTCTGTTAGGATATGTCAGCTGCATTGTTAATGACTTGATTAATATAAGATGTTTTTGTGTAAAACCTCCATTGTTGTTTTTCTTTTATTGTTAATGTCCTATAATTCTCTGATCGAATTGATCGGGTGATGTAGGAACGAGGATCAAGTCCTCCTTTCTGTTAGGATATGTCAGCTGCATTGTTAATGACTAACTCTATTATTTCTGCAATATTTTTAGGGGTTAAAGTGGTTGTTGTGTTTGATGCCATGATGTCTGGACTTCCTACACACAAGGAAAATTTTGCTGGGTACTGTATAATTCTGATTCTATTATTGTCTAAATTAATTTCCATCCTCCTTTTTTATTTAAGTTCATTACAGAAAAATATCTTTATTATCTATGCTAAACATGCTTGTTTTGACAAACCAGTGAATTTATTAGCAATTCTAGGTAGCTTATTACCAGAACATTATCATAGTTATGATATAGTTGCTTGTTTCTATTGGAAAACTTAATTCTGGTTTAAATATTTTATTTTTAAATTAGGTCTACATATCTTGTTTTCTACTTGATCCTGCTGAAAACCCCTTGCTTGTATGATGATTTTGTTGCTAAGTTCACAAATCTTCATGGTTGCTAAATTTTCTTAGGTTTATACTCAGTTACCGTACCTTCTGGTTTTCTTCAGACTCCCAAGAAAATGTTTTCAATTTATTCTACAATTTGACCATACTCCTATTCAAACATTGGCATGCTAGATGCTTTTGTCTCATTCCACCCATATTTCATGATCATTTTGTGGCTGTAAAGAATTCATTACTTTGAGATACCAAACTTAAAATTGTATGCATAACTTCACCTTTATTTTAATAGATATTAGGAGAAGGCTCGAACACTTGAACTTGCAGTCACTCATTTGAAAGAGGTGTTATTCAGCTATTAAACTAAAGGGATTTGACATTCATTTATTGAACAGTTAGCAACCATATATCTCTACTACTAGTTATGCTGACTTTTTTCCTCTATATTTGTGTTAGTATGACAGGTCAGGCATCGGGAATGACCCACAATTCATTGTTATGTTCATGTGATATGTTAGGAATGAGCTACAATTCATTGTTATGTTCATGTGATATGTTAGTAGTTTCTATAGTTTTTGCATGAAATGTATAGAACATGTAAGGCAATGCATCTTCTATAGAAGTTAAAAGTTTAGCAGCAATGAAAAAGAAATATTGGAGAGCCAATGCTTGATATTGATAGTAGTCTAGTGATTGAAACTTCTATAATGAGCCATAGTATGCAGATAATGTGCCTTAAGTTGGCAGCATCATCAAATGTTTGCTTATTTATGTAATTGAATTTCTTTGTTGTTGATAAAATTTAACTATGACTTCTGATGCTAATAATTTTCAATTTTCAGCATTGATATAGTTTACTCTGGAGAATCTTGTGCTGATGCATGGATTGAAAAGGAGGTTTGAGATGACAACAAGCTGAGAATTTCGAATTGTTCCTTTTCTGGTTATTTAGCATCTTTGGTTTAATATATAAAGGATTAAAGGATAGATTTCATTCTGCCTCCTTTTCATATCACATTATAGAGTTTTACTTTGCTCTTCATGTCTGAAGATAAGTTATTTCAAACTAGAAAATTATGTTATTGGACAAAAAGGAAAAAAAAAAAAAGCTACAAAATCATGTTTTTTATTTGCTCAAGAACCATTTATGATAAATTATGAAATGATGGTGCAAATATCATCATAAGCAGGTAGATATGCAGTGTATCCTTCTTATGTGTTCCCTTAAACTACATAAAAAAACTCTTACTGTTTGAGGCCTCCATGGTAAATTGTCTTCAAGAGTTTTAGATATGATGCTTTGGAATGTGTTGGAGAGTGTTTGAGAAGTCTCACATCAAATAAAGATGCTTCTCCTTTGATAAACTTTTTGCATTGAGTAGCTCAGAATTAGGGAATAGTTTCAGTTATGCATTTAGCATAGTCAGCCTAGTCCGCCTTGTAAGTTATTTCCGATAATATCTGTTTTGCAAACTCTTTTGCTTGATACCTTAAGTATGCATCTTTCTGTAACATCAATGTAATATTTCTTGTCATTGTTATTGACTTCTAGTGTGGCATCTCATATTTAACAGGTTGTAGCTCTAAAGGAGGGTGGATGTCCCAAAGTTTGGGTTGCGACTTCTGATCATTGTCAGCAGCAAGCGGCATATGGAGAGGTAAGCATTTGCATTATGATCAAGGAAATTATTTTGTTGTAGTGATCATGACATTTTGCTAGGCTATAATATTCTGATGGTAATTTATGCTATGTGCTCATTGCTGGGAATTAATCATGCAAGATCAGAGATTAAGGGGCAGAAATTTAAAATTTTATTCCCAAAATATTTAATCACTCAATGATATTGTTATGCACGTTCTTACTAGCATCAAGAAGATCAAGAATCATATCTAAAAATCTTAAGTGGTGTTAGGCCAGGGTTTATGATCTAAAAATCTTCGAGACCTTCTAGGTAGGTTCTAGCAAACCTTCAGCTATCCATTTGTCTAGCCTCCATTGGTATCCACACAATTAATTAAAGAAAAAACCTTGAGGAGAGGTTGGGATAGCCAAAACCGAGACCTAGTGCTAGTTAGGGTTTTGCTTCTTAAGCTTTTGTAATTTCTCAAAACATGAGATATCTTTCTTTTGTGTATAAGAGGGATGGCAAGGCTCTTTAAATAGATCAAATTTGGGAGCCTTGATCCCAATCCTATTCCTAATAGGATATATTTTACTACCTTATAATTTGACCCTTGAACTTATTAATTAGTTCAATTAAGTCCCTAAAGTTTCAAACTTTATTTCAATAAAGTCCAATTTGATTATGCCATTTTAATTTCTCAATTATTCTTAATGTGTGTGACCTATTAGGTTTTTAATATGTTGCCAATAAATATGAATATTGTAATCCTAGCGCATGTAGGATTTGATGAATCAAAACCCTTTGCTTCATCATTAATTCTTTAAATAAACGACTTCATATTTATAGATCAAGATAGATATTTATAAATGTATCATAGGTGGACTAGTGAATTTCAGAACATCATGTTTTCACTATCCTTTAAGTAAGATATTGCATATTTAAAGGAACATTTGTCCAGCATCCTTTAGACGAGATATTGCATTCTTATATATAGGAACTATGAGTAGGTTGCTTATGCGGTGATAACTAAGGAGGTGCAACTGATGATAGTTGGAGTTCTTCTCCTTTAGCATGGAGTGATGCAAAAAGAACGCTCTTTTCTATTTATAAGTGTGAAGTATTACAAAAGCCACAGAGGTGGATATAATTTATTACACTTTTCATATTACCTATAAATGCTTCCATTGTTACTGTTAGGGATATTAGATATTTATTTACACTCAAGTGTTTTAGAAAGTTTATTTGCTCTATTTGAAGGTCTAAAAATATTTTGACCAATGGAGGATGTAAATTGTCAATTTGAATAATGTAGTTACAATTAATTATAATCAATGATTATGTATGTTATTATTTTCTTCATTATTTGTCTTGAACAATTAAAAAATAGTGGCGATTACGACCTGTGTTATTATTTTTGGCAGGGAGTAATCTATTTTGACAATTGTTTGAGATTTGTCTATTAAAGTATTCATTGCCCGTTGGATTTATTTGTATTGACGGTTTTATTCAGGGAGCCTTTATTTGGAGCTGCAAGGCATTGATTTCTGAGGTGAGGCATATTAATTTAGTCATATGCTGCATTTACGTATTCCACACAAATCGGATACCTGTATTAAACTTATTTATTGACATGTGGCTGTTAGAAAACATAATTTATCTTGTCATGAGAACACTGATGTTGTACTTTTTAACTTGTTATTATATCCTTGTTTCTTCCTTGTAAAATAGGTTAGTAATGCTAGAAGAAAACCATCATCCATCATGGAAGGGACTCAACCTTTGAGGAATTGAATAGAATTCAACTTATAAAGTTTAACTAAACAGTTTAGTCTTTATATAAATCTAACCCCCGCAAGAAATTATAAAATTAGTTGATAATATCTTATAGTTGAAAATATGTCATCCTTATTGATAAATTATAATCACATAATAAATAAAATTTAATGAATAAATCCTAATCACACTAAGATGATATATATCCAAGTAAGAACAAAAAATAAACATGAAAAATTCCCACCTCTTAGAATAATATTTTCCTCAAGGTTGGAGTCATCGAATCAGCTTTTGAAATCTTCCTTTGGGTGTTTTATTAGAACTCAACTGTCAAATTATAACTAAGGAGTTTAGGATGTGTTTGGTGCATAAGACTATGATAGGATAGATTAGCATTAGATTAAATAATGTTATACTATCTTGTGTTTAATGTATAAAGGGATTATGATAAGATAATTTATTTATTAGAACTCAACTGTCAAATTATAACTAAGGAGTTTAGGATGTGTTTGGTGCATAAGACTATGATAGGATAGATTAGCATTAGATTAAATAATGTTATCCTATCTTGTGTTTAATGTATAAAGGGATTAAGATAAGATAATTTATTTATTGGTTAAAATTATCTTTTCTCAAAATTTATATAATTTAAATTACTGATATAATTTTTAAGGGTATAATAGGACATGTAAGTTCAATCCCATGGATTAAAAATAATCCTCTCCGCTTTGGGAGGATTGAATCATCCTATGCCAGATTAATCTTCTTTACAATCTTATCCCTTTCTTTAGATACAAACCAAACATAATATGAGATAATCATCATCCTATCAATAATCCTATGCTTCTAACATAACCTTAGTCCTCTATATATAGTAAAGATCCTCAAGAAATTGTTGATATGATCACACCTAGTTGATAATATCTCATCTTAACTCTTGAATCATAAACAAATAATTAATGAATTCTAATAACCTAAATAAACAAGATATAAATCCTATTCACACCAAGATGATAAATGTCTTGCGAAACTAGAGATAAACAAGTAACAGCTTTTCAGTTAGTATGCGGTGATGGCTTCTTCTTTAGCATGTGAGAGGGGGGAGAAAGAGAGAGGGAGTGGTGTCTTATGCAAAGAAAAAATATCAAATTCATGCAACAGAAATACTAATTTTATAAGTTTAACGCACCATGATAGTTGTAACCTTGTATTAGTTAATACTATTTGCACATTCCGCGCATTGCTGTGTATCTAATGTGATGATTTGATTTATGTGTATTTATATTATTTAATAAATATGTTAAACTTCAATTACATTTAACACTAAGTATATTCATCCACAATTAATTGGATTTGTAAATATTATAGATTCATGAATGATTAAGTTCGTGAATGGTTAGATTAATGCAATTTGGATTTGATTCATAATTAATTAATACTAAATATGAATATAAACTCAAAATTTAAATGACACCAAACACGAAGTACACTTATCCACAATTAATTGAGTATATGAATATCATAGATTTATGAATGCCTAAGGTCATGAATAGTCAAAGTACATTCATTAATGGATAATTAGGTTCATTGATACCATAGATTCATGTATATTAAGTTCATGAATATTGAAATATAGTAGATATGAATCTAGACTTAAATTTTAAATGATATAGAATACAAAATACATGTATTCACAATTAATTAAATTCATAAATATTATAGATTTATGAATACCTAATGAATAGATAGATTCATGTAATTTAAAATAAAAAATAAAAACATTAATAAAAGAATTGTTCTAAAATACCATGTGTCACCATGTTAATAACCTGCGGATAGAAATAGTATATGTTAGATTGGTTGAAGATTTGGAGTCCTGTTGAGAAAGCTGGAGAGTCAATATGGTTTTTGTTAAATTTACATGATTGTAATTTAATCCTTATGACAAATCTATTGATTTTAAGAGTTTAAAAATAATGATTGGTGGATTTAGTAAATAGAGAAATAATAAGATAATTTTAATCCCTCTTTACAATCTATAAAATTAGATTGTGAGATCACATCATCAACAACAAACTAATCCTTATATCCCATAACTTTGGTCAGCTGTATTGTCTATATATGGCATCCATGTATGACATACTGTTGTCCTTGTGTACCCCTTTTTTATTGAAGTATTGTTTGTATACGGTCATTGCTATTGATTGTTCCTCTATAATTGTGTGTAGATTAAAGCTTCACAGAAGGAGGAAGAGAGGATGCTTCAAGAACAAAGGTCTTCTTTTCATTGGAATGAAATTTACAAAAATTTGCACAAGAAATTGAAAAAAAAAAAAATTAAACGCATGCCATTTGGTAGTTTATTTACTGCATTTTAAAATGACCATACATCCTGTTGAACTTATGATTCACAATAAATTTCTTCTTGTTGACTGATAGGGGATCTCAAAAAATTGTTTCATAACTAGATTCTATTGAATGACATCAATATATGTTCTCAAAGGCACATTAGGATAATATCATGCCATGTTGAACGATGGGTCTAAGGCCAAAATCAGAATACATGTGGCCTTATCTCCTTAACGTGTGCCCATAATAACCAGTTAAGGGCATATTGATCATTTTAGGAGATCTATAACTAGTTTTGTCTCCATAGCTTGAGGAAGAGGAGTAACTAGAGATCTCCTGGTGCATAACCTAATGGAATCTTCTAATACATATGCATATGATGGCACAGGTAGTCAAAGGTAAATTCTCCACACACACTTTGAAATCCTTATCCTTGTTTCACACTTCATTAAATTCACCAACATAAGCATAGCAAGTGTTGAGAACATCCATGACATGAAATAATTGAGATAGTTAGAGGGATCCATGGTTTGATGCTCGATCATGAAATGTGAATCTAGACTTGTAAGGTCTTATTTATAGGTATTAGAAAATGGCTTGAGATTTTTCGTTGTGAGATCCACTAGTAGGCCCCCTTCATCATTTTGTTTGAGAGAGGTGGTTATGGGTTTATTCTCAATAACCATTATACCTGTAGATTGTTGGCTGCGGGCGGAAGTCACATGTATATACAATTTGGGCCTTGGGATCATATTCCAACATATCATGAAGGAAGCATCCGTACTAGATTTTTTTTTTCTTTTTTTTTTTTTTGTACAAAGGAGGTCACAGCTTGGACCATACTATAGATTTGAGTGTCAATGTTATGCCTGTGACTAAAGCAGAACTTGGCAACTTAAGCTAGACTTGCTCTGTGGACCTATCTTTTAGCCTATTTAACTTCACAGCTCACATCTCATTGGGGATCTGTGATACCTTCAACTTAGGGAAAGTTTGAGGGTTGTTTAACTTTAGGATAAGCATGCTTTCCATTTTTATTAACACCTGAATTATGCTAGTTGAATGCACCAAATAGATAACAATAATTGGCTCTAGACTCAAGTATGTTGGGCTGATTGTTTGATGAACTGTACTTTGCATCTTTGATACAAAACGGTTTTTTGATTTATGATTCTGCCATTTTCAGATCTACTTCCTTTCAAGGTAAATTATTAAAGCACAATCTCAAATCTGAAGTTGTTGATGCTCTCAAGGATTTAAGAAGACAGCTTTCTGAGAATGAGTCCAAATAGCTTTTCTAATTTGGTGTGTTGTTAGTGGTTTGTTCATATTCAGTATGCCTTTCTTCTAAATCATAGTAAGCACAATTCTGAGCATTTTTTAAGTTTTATTTTATTTTATTGCTATTGCTACTCAAACCTTGTGTATAATAAATACTTTGCTGCTTTTTTCCTTTATTATTTTAGAACCATGACCAAATTGTTCCTTTTTGTTGTTGGTGATTTATTATCACTTTATGAATCTTGTTTTTTAGTTGAAACAATTGGGTTGAAGAAAGAAAATATAAATGAAATTATTTGATATACCGATATTATAGTTTTTTTTAATTCTACAAACACGGTTAACAATATAATATAAAAATAATATGAATAAAATATATAAAAAATAATATAATTTAAAATTTTAAAAAATTATAAATAAATTTAATAAAATTAAAAGATTATATTTTATATTTTTATATTAATATAAATTATGATATATAATTTTTATATAAAATATAATATTTTATACGACCGTATCACCGGATCTATTCCGGTAAGTTTTAGTAACAAAATTTAACACAACTTACTTTCTTCTGTTTAATTTCTTTGTTCTTCTCTATGGTAAAAGGAAGAGCCTGGAGCCAAGTTTGAACCTAGTAGGATATCAGCCCACCAGAAAGAGAGACAAGATCCGTTAAGCCGCTGAGTGTTATTTCAATTTGGATACAAACAAACAAAACAAGGTTTGGGCTCGTCAAAGCTTCAAAGCCCATGTAAATGAGTCAACCGCAACAATTTAATTAATTTTTGTTAAATATTCAAATTAAAATCAATTCAGGGTAAATAAAAGGTTGAATTTGATTATAATGCACATGTTTTTCAATATTTAACATACGTGAAAGAATACTACTTTAATTAGACTTAGTTATTTTTATAGTCGTATCATTTATAAATATTAATTTATATATTTTTATCGTATTTTATAAAAATTATATATTATAATTTATATTAATAAAAAAATAAAATATATATTTTAATTTATATTAAATTTATGTATGATTTTTATTAAAATTTTAATTTGTGTAATTTTAATATTTGTTGTATGGTGTTTTTAATTGTAACGTGTTTGAGCCAAAATCGGACCTCAGTAAGGCACCTAGCAAAAGGAAGATGAAGGTCAGGAGCAAAGGGATAAGGTGGCTTCGACTTCTGTACTTTAATGTTCAAATCAGTGGAAAGTAAAAATAAATAAATAAATAAATAAAAGGGAGAATAAGAGAGAAACTGGCCCAATGTTACCTGTGAGAGAATATGAGGTATTTTTTCTTAAAATTTTCAGTATTTGATCATTATTTTGAATTTTGATTAATTTAAAATTAAATTAGATCAAATTTCATAAAAAAAATTAAACTTTCATAAATTTATTTTATTTATTTATAAAATTTAAAATCAAATTTTTATTTTAAAAAATTAAATTATTTATCATTCAAATCAATAAATATTGATAGGATATGAGATTTTTATAGGGTGTAATTTGAATACTTTAACAAAATTTTCACAAATTTTTATCGATAATTAGAGACAAAGACTGACACGTGATCAACATAAAAGAGAGAATATGCAAAAATAACATGAAAAACAACAAAATAAAATTTTAATTTGATATAATATTAAAAAAAAGGAATTATGTATTCATAAATTTAAAATAAAATTATACATAAATATCCTAATTATGTATAAAGGACACATTAATTTTAAAAAATTCATAAAATATCATAATTAGTAATATTAAAAATTATTTAATTGAATATCATAATTTTTTACTATAATTTTATAAAAATATTACAATTAAATTTTTTAATAGACTCATAACATCGTAATTATTTTTTTTATCAACAAGTGATTGATTTAATTAATTAAAAAAAATTTTTTTTGATAAAAAATTTTAAATTCGAATCTTATTAATAATCACTTATTTTAGTCATTTTTAATGTATAACTTATAATTAATTTTAAATTATTAAATACGATATATTTTATTTTAATTTAAAAAATAAAATAATTTATTTATTTTAATTATTTTTAAAGATATAATTGTCCCTTCTTCAATATATATTAAACATATAAAAATTCATACATTCTTATATTATTAAAAAAAAAAAAGGCAATGACAGATGTTATTAAATACCACCGCCACAGCCAGACTGTCAATTCTTTGGTGCTATAATTTTCTGTCTGACTCGCTTTGACATTTCTATTTTTGACTGTTCACGTGTTTTTTCTCTACTATTTATTAATTATTTTGTTCATTTCTTTATTTTTTTTTATTTTATCCTTTTCTTATATCAACTCCTCATTTTTTAGAATTACATGTTACATCCAGTGAAAACTTCTAAGAGTCGAAGAATTTTTTAATATTTTAATATTTAATATTTATATAAATATTCATTCGATCGATTTATTTATTTATGTAAAATATTATTGAAATTATTAAATTATTTAATAATTTAGTTTGAATAATATTTAAATTTAAATTTTATTAAATTAAATTTATAATTAAATAATTATTTATAATAAAAAATAATGAAAAACTTTTGTTATTTAATCGAATAGATTTAATTTTGATTGATTTGATTATTATTGATTATTTAAAAAAATTAATTAATTCAATTATTTATTAAATAAAAATAAATTAAATCGATTATTGATATTTTTAAATTCAACCGATCGAACCGATTAACCGTACGGGGAGGTGTTAATAGCAAAGGCAAAGAGATGGAAGCAGAATGCAGATATTGAAGACATGAACGACATAGTAATATGATTCGAGGAATGGGAGTGAGTGAGTGAGTGAGTCAGTGCATCTATGAGAGTCAACGAGTTGCAGAGACTAAAAGGATATGATTCACGAGATACCTGCGTCCTTTATTAACTCTCCCAGACTGACTGCCAGCTCCAACCTTAGAATAAAAAAAAAAATAAACAAAGCAAAAATTCAGTTGCGCCCCAACAAAGTTGGTTCATGTCTTAACTATACAAGAATAAGAAGAGAAGAAGAAGAAGAAAGAAATTAATGAATCAAGTCAGAGAGTCAAAAGGGGTCCCTTTCCGGTCAGGTCAGACGGTCAAGCTTTGACTCCTTCATTAAAATCCAACGGTGGTGGTGGACCCTCCCATGTCTTTGTGATGGTTGATGATTGATGATATAATTAACCTGTCGAGTCTATGTTTTTGCTTTGTCTTTTTCTTGTGCAAAAATTACAAAAACAAATGCAATTCAACATGATTTTCACCGACGCCTCATTGTTCGAATAACAAAGAAATTCGATTCTTTTTAAATAAAATATTAATTTTAAATTTTATGAAATAAAAAATAAATTAAAAAATTTATTTTTTTATAAAATCTGATTCGATTCAATTTTAAATTAATCAAAGCTTACAATAATTTTTAAATACCAAAAAATTTTAGACAAAAAAAATATTTTTTTTCCTCCTCATTTCATGTATTGCATTTATGCAATTAAGAGTCCGCAACTTTCTAAGCCTACAATCTTCAAGTAACATTAAAAAAAAATGCCTCTCTCTAATCAAATATATATATATATGATCTTTTTTAGAAGAGATAATATATCATAAATGATATTTAAATTATAATAAAAAAATACTTAATATGATATTTAAATTTAAAAATTTTAAATATAATATATAAATTACGAATATATTAATTAATGTGATATTTAAAAATTATTTGCATATATTATATATAAAAATTGTTGATAGATTTACTAATTTTATTAATGAAAATATGTCCAAAAAATTTTTGAAAAGTGTTTTGGAAATTTTTCTTTATTTTTCAATTTGTAAGGGAGTCTATAGAGACCTTACTTTGACATATACATCTGCCTTTGGTTATTTACAATTATGTGTTATTATTTAAAATTAACGATGTTAGAGGTGATCAATATCATATTAATTAATATATTTAAATATTATATTAATAATTTTTTAATTTTAAATATCATTTTGAATATTTTATTATAATTTAAGGATCATTAATGGCGACACTTGCTTTTATAATTTTATCCTTACATTGTTGGAATTTGACAAGGAGGGTGTGAGAAGCACTGACCACTGACCAGCTCCACTTTGATTGGAATTCATGGATGATCAAGTCGTTTGGGCAATTCTAGGGTTGGTTGGACTAGGACCAAACTTTCACATATTAACTTGCAATTATGATGTTACCAACTTCACCCATCTTTTGCTTTTATGTAACTTAGGTTCTTCAACCATCATAAAGTGCATTGTACAAATATCATATCCCTTTCCATTCTTTTTTCTTTTTTTTTTTTTTTTAAAGAAAAGAAATAATGCTACGTACCTTATATGTAGCATTAATGTAATGCACCTTTGTTGCAAATGCAACTCATCTTCTTTGATCTAATTTTCATATATATTTTTTCCTTAGATTTCAACCAAAGAGCAAATACGACAATCAAGACAAGATTGGTTCGATACGCATTTAATTTCTTACTATGGTAAAAGGTCTTAACACTTATTGTATATATTCCCTAATAATAATGTTTTCTTAATATATTTATACATTAGTATCATTGTCGGATTCATTTTTTGTGAAAGAGTGTCCTTGTAAAATTGACAAATAAAAAAATTTGACGGAAAATTTGCTCTTGCAAACTCTTTATGTTGATAACATAAATTTATCGGTAAATTTTTATATATTATAAACGGACATCCTCAAAAAAAATCCTTTATCTGTCACATATAACAATATATAGAAAAAAAAAAAAAAAAACTATACAATTGTATCTTAGCTAGAAAACTGCACAACTGCATGGATCCCTTGTAGAAGATGGGTTTGGGATACAGTTCAAAATGAGAAGGTGTTAATTAGGCTCAGTCTCTTCTATATATAATCTAATTACAATGGAGTAAGTTACTAAGAAACTTCTCATGCAATGACAATTTATATAGAAATTTATGTGAAATCATTTGCATTATTAAACTACCAAAATCCATGTTACCGATCTATCTTAAGCGTGCTCCAAATTAAATCAAATAAAATTTTAGGCATGCTTTTCTACGAATGAATCTGAAACAAAATCCTAACATGCATATTATGTAAATAAACATTAATAAATGATAAAGTTCATGTTTAATTAAAATATAAATAACATATTTAATTAATTAACTAATAGTAAAGATTCATAAAATCATAGATAGTTCATATACACTTTGGAGTGGCAACAACTCA